ATATATGCACATATAAATAATAATTGATGGAGAAATGGAGTAGAGAAAATATAAATGTTATACTGCTACTGTTTTGGAAAGTATATGCTCTGCTACTGGTAAATTTTAAGTTTAAAATATCTACTTATAGACATTTTCTCAATTATCAATAACATACAATTGTATGAATATTACAGCATGTTCACTAAATATTGTATTTAAGTAAATAAATTATATTTTTAAAATAGCTTTGGCCATATACATTAAAGTATTAGCAACTCATTTCAAATGTTTTTATTTTCTTTCCATTAAATAGAAAAGTCAAACGAAGAACAAAGATAAAGAGATAAAGCTGCTCAATGAAATTTTGCATGGAATTAAGGTAATTAAAGAGATATTCCTTTAATTTTACTATTTAAAATATGGCAAAAAGTTTGTCAATAAATGAATATTTTACCATTCTCAATGTCACAGTAATAATATATGTATAATTGCTTGAGAAAATACTTCAGATTTCGGAGATATAGGAATTCTTATTGTTAAAATAACAGTTGCATTGATAGCCCTCAAAATGCAGGGTTTTCTTTGTTGTTGTTAACTTCCTAAACATGTAAACAGAAATATCGTGAAAAGCCAAAAATAATTCTTATTTTATGTGTTTTTGTGGAAGATATGGAATACAGCAGGCAAGCGTGGGAACGACATTTTCATCAGTGTGAGGGCAGATGTATATGAGATGTGATGGGACGTCATTCAAGTTCTTTTTTATAGACTAGATACCATAAAGAGTGTGTTGCATATTATATGTCACTCTCTTGTTCATCAAAACTACTAGTCTTTTCTCTGTAATAAAATGAGTAAAATCTCATAAACATATTGAAGATAGGCAGACAGACAGATAGATAGATAAAATATTTGTTCGATGAATTGGCTTATAGATTGTGGGGGCAACAACTATGAACTCCCTAAGATAGACAATATTTTGCTGCAGATCCGTCCTGATCTGGAGGTAGAGTCCCTTTCTTCTCTGGGAAATTTAGACTTTCTTTTAAGGTCTCCAATCAGGTTCTCACCTATTTTATGGAGGATAATTTGCTTTACTTTCAAAGCTTATCGATGTCAGTATAGTCCCATATGAAAGATAACTTCACAATAACATCTAGACAGGTGTTTAATCAAACAACAGGGCACCATAGCCCAATTAAGATGATGCATACAATTAAATAGCACAAAGAGAGAAGTAGACTTTGAATTGAAGTCTACCTTACTCTAAAGTGCATTCAGTAAAAACAAATAAAATAAAATGCAGTCAGTGAGTCGTACAAATCTGCTTAATATTCTCCACCTTAGAAAATAGTTCACAATTTCAAAACACCAGTCATCTTTTCAAATACTGACCTAAAATACATAGATATTAGTCTTCAAAAAAATTGAGAAGTCGGGATGAGAACCAACTACTAAGAAAAAAGAAGTGGACAGAAGTGAGAGTTGGCTGAGCTAGACAGAAAGTGTCATGGACTGATGTCTAGAGTTTGGGCACGTTCAGAACCTAAAGTGTAAGCTACTGATGAGTACGAGGGACATAAAACTGTGTGCATGGTGATGTCTTCCTCCTACTCACCACCCCAAACTACAATTTAAGGAAATATTTGAGCTCATGATCATTGGAAAATTTTACTTTTCTTTATGAGGCTGCCATCTTGCTTTTGCCTTCACAATATTTGTGTACATGTTTTTTTACTTCTGTGATTTTGATTATCAAATCATCAGTCTCTGACTCCTTTTCAGATCCTCAAACTTTATGCCTGGGAACCCTCCTATAAAAAGAAGGTTCTTGAAATTCGAGATCGGGAATTGGAAGTTCAAAAGTCAGCGAGCTATCTTGCTGTATTTTCTATGCTGACATTAACTTGCATTCCATTTTTGGTAAGGGCACACAATGTTTCCTGTTTTGTTTTTTAAGTTTGATTTGCAGATTCACCTTCAAATTACCAGTAATTAAGGTATACAAAGTGAATTTTCCATATCTGAATTAAAATATTCCTGAAGTACAGTCATTATTTTATGTTGATTACAGAAATAGCATTTTAAAGGGAAAATATGTGAATTCACTTGGTTTGTATTTTTGATTTACCATAAGATTCCACAGATTGAACTTTTGTTCTAATTCTTGAAAAGTTTAAACTTCATTTAAAATTTTCCTTTCAGTTCCTAAATGTCTTGTTTAATTAATCTTTTAAAAGTGAGACCCAAAGGCACATTATATGGTGTTGGGAAGGGGAAGTAACATTCTTTGAATGTTTCGACTGAATATCAAACAAGTTATACACACTGTCTTATGTCATTCTTGTAGTACTAAAGCATTACTTTTTTCATTTCACAAGTGGAAATGGAAGTTCATAGTACTTTAGAAACACCCTCGAAGTTATAGTAGTAGTATTTGGAAGTGAAGTATTGTCCTAATTCTTGAAAAGCATGTATGAATGGAATGTGTAAGTGTGGAATGCAGATGTATGGAATGAAATACTACATTCCATGTAAGCATCTAGAATCCCAAGCTACTTAAACTAGAGCATATATCAGCTTCAGGTATGTTGCAATGTATGCAAGCTAAAGGATCAGCAATCTACCATATAAATGAATCAATTTGAATCAAAATTATCACTCCCAGTGGTGATAGGCTACTCTCATTGGTTACTGAGGCATTTTTATTTAATTAAATGCATTTCCATTATTTAAATGTGATATTTATGTTTGCAATACTTGATGAAATTGACAATGATGAGTAATAACTACATCCTAATGCTTTTCTGCCTTTTCTAAGTGAAACTTAGGTTAAACATAAATCTTATCATTATTCATTACTTTATGATACAAGGAAAGTATAAATAACACATGTGAGCTACTATGTATTACATACTTCGGAAAATAAGTTTATATAAACTCCATTAAAAAATAAAGTGGCAGACCTTATAAATGGGAATAAATTTAGTGAGAAGATGGTAATTCTTAAAGAAGGGTGCTGGACCACTTTTCAGGGATATCACTGTCTGAGATTCTTCACCTCATCATGCACACTAACCACTATTTTGTATTCATTCAGTAATAGTACAGGGCTGAATTTCAGTATACTGATAAAACATGGTTATCAAAAATAGTTATCTCTAATTTGGGGGACTGTAATTTTTAATGTTGTTATCAATGAATATTTGAAGAAAAACACCACACCTCTTTTTTTTTAGGTTTCACTGGCAACATTCGGCATCTATTTCTTACTCGATGAGGGAAACAATTTAACAGCCACTAAAGTGTTCACATCCATGTCTTTATTTAACATTTTGAGGCTTCCTCTGTTTGATTTACCAATGGTGATCTCAGCTGTGGTGCAGGTAAATCTAAGGTATCCATTAGCCAAGACTTACTCCTCTACTGAAATCCATAGTTTTGCACATTTCTTTTTTTCTTCATGTTATTTCACTTTTTATGGTTATTTAACAATGCTTTAAAATTAGTAATAGATCACAATAGAAGAGAAGGAAGCCTCTGCTTTTCTTCCATCAGAAAGCTTTTAAGTATTTCAATATATCATTGTTTTCTTTGCTGTTAATTTCTTTTAAGTGTCTTTTTTTTAACTAATTTTTTGTTTAGGCTTTTAAAAGCTGCCATCAAAGATTCATTTTCTGTTTCCATTTGGAACTTTTTTTTCAACTAGATGCTTTGCACAGACCTACATCTGAATCCTTCCACAGGCTTCGGCAGCAGTTCCTCTGTCCCAAGTGAATAAAGCAAGGACAGTGTAAAGCTTAGATAGTACCAGTCTGCCAACAATCCTTGTGGGAATGGTCTGGTTCAGCCTGTCTTTGTTATAATTATCAATCATCAGTTATAACTTAGATAGTACTATGTGTGGAAGACGACTGCTAAAACTCTAGGGAATCCAAAGAGGTGAGTTCCTTGATCACCTTGTGTGGAGATTTTTCTCAGTTAAATTTGTCAGATGTTGGTTTGAATCATCTCAAAATAAAAGACTGGGCATCCCCCATTGAGTCCTTTTCTTCAAGTCTGGGTTCATAAACAAGTGAATATTTGTTTACTGAAACCAGCTCTTAGTCTAAGAAATTTGCCTTTAAATTTCTAACTTATTTGAATAAAGCATAATTATACACCAGTTCAGCCATTAAAAAAATATTTATTTATGTACCTCAGAACTAGGTTATAGGCAGGAGGTGTGATGAGGGGGCATGTCTCATTGGGCAACACCACACTGATAAATGGAGCCGTGGAGCAGGCTACATAATGCAGGATGCTGCTGAAGAACAAGATCCTGGCCTCTTTATTGATAAAATAATCATACAGCATCCATTGTAGGAGGAAGTAGGGTAAAAAAAAAAAGGGGAATGTGGAACTGTCCTCCACAGTATGAGGGGGTGTGAGTGTTTCCTCCGGTGCTCTCATCTGCTTGATGACTTGGGATTTTCACTGAGATCTAGCCCTAGTTCCCCAGTCAGAATTTCAGTCTTATCAACAAGGTGTTCCACTGATCAGCCTCTGGGGTCCCTTGTCATATATAGCAGTCCTCAGCTCCCAACCCAGGTGTTCATGGTCATGCCTCATGATGTATGAGTTGGGAGTAAGTTTATGCATCCATCATCAGCCCCTCTGAAGTGCAGGGCAGACCTCACGATGCAGACCCTTCCCAGGATGATTAAGCTTTCTGTTCTTGATTGATTTGAGAGGTACCTTGTAAAGTTTGGCTCCCATGACTGACTGACTGACTGACTGCTTGCTGAAGGGAAGTTCTGATCTCGTATCGGTAACAAAATGACGGCCCAATAGGCCGTGTAGGATTAGCAGGCCCACCGGGGTGGGTTGGAGGGGTGGCAGGGGTGGGGAGGATTCATCAGAAACAGAGTGAGGAGAATAGCAGACTGACTGAAATACACTGCTGAGTGGAGCAGTGGGCTAGGCAGGAGAGGTCTGCTGCCCCATGTGGGTCAGTTCTGTGCTCTGATTGAACTCATGCTGCAGCGACAGCTTTCTTCTTATGACTTAAGAAGAAATGGTCATATGATTTAAGATTAAAACGTTTCAAATGATCATAGTGCTGAGACTTAACACCTTGAGCCACCAGGGAGGCCCACTTAAGGCATTTTTATAACAGCATACCTTTTTTGTACTATTTTACTTTAATGACCAACAGAGGGCACAGAAGTACTACTGATGTTTTCAGAGCACACTTAAGAGAAAATGTCATTCTTTGGGTACTGGTTTGTTTTGCATTTGAAATTAGAATCTACCTAAAGTTGTAGCATCTCAAGGTATACTCTAATATATAGCAGTATGTTGCTGCTTTTCATAAATAAATAAGAACATACGTTAAAGAAAATTAGGAAAAGAATCAGTCCTACATACAGAGATGATACTTGGTAAATAAAACTACAGCCCATTTCCATCTAACCTACTAACAATAGAAGATTCCACATATAAAGTGACTAAAAATGTACTAAGGCTTTTTATGTAAGATGATGACTTTACTTCTCCTAGTTGTGGCTAAATATTTTATAGTAATGTTACTATAACTCACTGTTATCACTGCCAAGAACATCTTATAGCTTATACTCAGAAGTAGAATTTATTCAAGAATTTTGGGCCTCCCTGCTGACTTAGGGATTAAGTCTCAGCTCTGCTACTGGTATAGCTTGAGTTTGCTCCCTAGCCAGAGATGGACATGACCCACATGGCACAGCAGACCGCTCCTGTGTCACCTGCTGCTCCTCTCAACTGTGTATTTTGGTAGATCTGTCTGTTCTGCTCCCCACTCTTCATCTCTGGTGACCCTTTCACCTTTGCACTTCTGGCCTACACCCCAGTTCTCCTACAAAAATAAACAAACATTT